AGTTTTTAAAGTTCAGGAAGTAGCCACTACTGGAGACAAAGAGGCTAGTTTAATATCATACTGTATGTTTTTTTTTGAAATTGAAGTTATTAAGAAAGCATGGTCCATTTAAGATCACAACCAATATAGACACTAAAAAATAATTGCAATTAGTGAAGTACAGAGAGTAATGCGAATTTTAAATTTAAAGTTTGTACACTTTCTTTTTTAGATCACTATTTCAATTCATAATCTCCTTGTCAGCAGAAATATCTTATGGTGTTATTTTTGCCTTTTTTGGTGTTTTTTGCCTTATTTTTGTTCTTTATTTTCTGAAACAGATGTGTAATATCACAGCCTATATTAATCCCCTCTTCTAAAAATATTACAAATAATTGGAGCACATAAAGGCAATACTCTACATCTTCAACAGGATAATAAGAGCATTTGAAATGGTAGGGAATAATACAAGAAATAGGATGCACATTATAAAAAATTAAAAGGAAGTTATATCAGGATATTTATCAGGGAAAAGGAAAAAACGTCACTTCAGTAAGTACCCATACTTTACTGGATAACATGAGAAAGAACACAAAGAATATTATTGGCAAAAATAAGATTTCAGACTTCGAGCTGACCCTAGAACTCTGGGACTAAGCACAGGGACTGGGTTAAGTCCACACATAGATGTCAAGAAATACTGTAGTTATACAGGTTTCTCTCTTCTGTGATTAACAGTTTTCAGTCATTTGTGCAAGAGTTGCAAATTTCAGGTGTAAACCTATCTTCTATACTATTTTACTTTGCCATCTGTACCATTTACTTTGCCATTCCATACCATTTTACTTTTGATGAGGACATTTGTCATCATTGTGATTTTTCTAATGAACTAGATTTTCCTTTAGAGATACTCTGGAATTAAGCCTGTCCATGAGGAGCTCACTGCAAAAGTTACATATTTACAATAGCTCAGAGTCTGTAGAAATACTTGCATCTAAGCACAATATTAATTTCTTTTCCCTTTAAAATACATATTATAACTCATCAAAATCTAAGTGCATCAAATGTGCTATACAAATATATAAAGTAGATCAGACACTGGTCATAAGCAGCTATTTGTGAACCAAAATGTAAAAACCTAAATGTCATAGAATGAACTAAAGTGCTACTAGAACATTCCATCATCACCAACAAAACCCCACAAATATATTGCTTTCTTCATTTAACCATTAAAAACATTATACAAAGTGTCATGTCAGTTCTGTATAAATATGCTGAAAAGAAAGATTAATATGGCCATCTAGAGGAGAAAAGAATGATGTGAAAACATGCCACACATTTTCAGGCTTCAGAATAAAACATTTTTAGAGGCATGCAGCCAGAAAATAGATGTAATAAACCAATTATGTAATTGATAATAAGTGAACCTTAAAATAACATGATCAGAAATTTTGTAGTGCAAACATATTGATATTATACATGTTTTTAGCAATGCAAGCAAAGCTTATGGGTTGTATTAATAAAGAAAAGATTATATTTCTGTCTCACTGTGAAATTTTCTGTGTGCACTGTTAAGCGCGAATGCGTCTAAACAAACAAATTTAAAAAGTGAAGATTAAAGTGCAGAGTAAACAGTTATTAGTAAAACAGTTTATTGACTCCTTTGAAAACACACAGCACACTGTTGCAAGATACAACATGTGATAGAGATTAACTGCTGAAAAGAAAATAACACAGAATTTCCCAAAAATGAAATATCATTTTCATTGCTCATATTACTCTACCTCTGATGGAATTTTTAATGATATCATCAGAGGCTGATTTACTAGCAATGAGCAGTGGGGGGAAAAGAGATAAGACAAAAATGAATTCTCTCATCACTTCACTGTAACACTACCAAGCCCTGCTCAACATATGGTCTGAGTGGTGCCTTAAGCTGGAAGTACAGCTGAAATGTTTAAGCCTTAGAAGTAGAATGTACATATGAGGAAACAGAAGCACACAAAGTCAAATATATTGACAATTGTTTCTCGTATTAAATAAAGTACATAGGGACACACTGCTTGCTTCCCCTCCACTACAAAGAATCAAGAAATGGTTCTATCATTTGTCTTTACACTTCTTCTAAAAATAATTCAACAGTCATAAAAACCAATTATTTAATGAAAAATTTCAGGATTCCTATGGCAAGATTCAAGTCTTCTATAGATTTATTTTGCAAGTTTAAGGAACAGTAAAGCTTTGAATTTTTAAAAGTTACACTGAAACATCTAGAATGTTGATATTCTCCACTTGGAATCAGAGACTTTTAACCTCATCTGTTCAGTGAACTGTTTCTCTGAAGACACATGAACTGTTTGGTAGCGATAGTCAGTCTCTCATTTATTTTTGACTGCAGGCTTTCTTCATGAGGTTTCCGCCTTCTCTTTTCATCAAAGTTCTAGGTTGGGCAGCTTTTCCTCTGTAATGATCACAACACAACCAGGCATACTCTGTCTTTTCCTCTATTCGAACACATTTTTATCATTGTGCAAAGATTCTTTCTTTTATGTTTGAAATAATTTAGGAAGAACATAAAAAGTACTAAAACTAATTATTCTAGTGTGCCACCTTCAGGTCACTGAAAAGTGAAAAATACTGGGTTGTTAATCTGTTGCCATGTCCAATACCACAAAACTCTTTTTAATACTATTGAACATAATTTTGTTGAGATTAATGGATCACAAAAATGAGACAAAATCATGTCTCTAATTTGCAAGCATTTTGCAGAAAACTGTAGAATGACTGCAGACTATCAAATAAATAACATTGCTGATTCTCCACTCCTTGTAAGATGTGGGAAGAGAATGCTCTCACAAGCAGCAGCAAAAGCAAAATACTGACAGCATTAAAGCTTTTTTACAAGTAAAAAAGTATGTGGTTAAAAATTTACAATTTTCTAAGTTAGAATGTTTTGATCGTTTTTGCTTTAAAGATTTTTTTTCCAAACCCTGAATGTTCTTTCATTATAATAAATTCAATTTGCATACTAATTTTAGAGTGAATATGTGTGTGCATATATAAAAATGGATTTTACATCCAGCCAGCTTCCTGAATGGAAAGAGTGTTGAGAAGGGATAGCAGCTGGTGACAGATATCTTTAGCAATAGAAGAAAAAATGAAAAAGGAGGAGGGCGAAACAATGGTAACTTTCCTGATGCAATACTTGGACTTGCCAACAGGGTTCTTTTGTCTTAGATTCTAACCATGATATAGATTTCCAGACTGGAGTTCTCATTCCCCAGAAGAGGATAAAAGTCAGTGACTATGAATTTTTATGATCTGAGAGGATGATAAGGAGACAATTATTAAGAAAAACCCAACCAAAAACCCTGGATACAGGCTAGTACAACGCCTTTGGAGCTTAAGTCTTATAGAGCCAAAGTAAAAAGCTCAGACGAACTGAGAACTTTGCACTGAGAAGATAACTAGGTAGGATAAAAAAAATCTGTACTGTGAAATATAAAGAGGAATGTCACATGTTCCTTCAAACATGAATTATTCTATGATTATTTCAACAAGCAGCCTCAACACTTTGAAAAGAGACAGATACATCATTCTCGATATCTGAAAGTAGTCTTCTTGTATAATTTGTTTCTGGTATTATTTGCTAATAAATACGATTGAGTTTTCCATCTCCTGTTAATGTACATCACCATTCTTTCCCAACAGTGACATGAGCCATACAAAAAGTTAGCATCTTATCTTTCATATTCCCCCCACCAACGCTATTGATAGATCTCAGTAGATATAAAACCCAAACATGATATTTTCACTATCCCTCTTCCTTATTGTCCTTCTCCATCATAGTGTCCAAGGATTGGTTCTTACCACCTGACCTCACCTCTGCATCTCCTTCCCTATTTGCTGGAACTCAGACTCTTAGCCTCCCTACAATTTACAGCAAAAGAAAGAACAGAAATTTCTGATGATCAGAAAATAATCCTCTTACTGTGCAACTTACTTCAATGATGGCTTTCATGTCCTTTGTGTCTTAACTTGGAATCATGAATGAGCATGCACTAATTTCAAATTTCAGTGGCAAACAGACTTTTGTATAACTAAAATACATCATATAGTAGAAAACAAATTTTGTCAAGCATTTCTGGACTGTATAGAACATTTAAGGAAAGACATCTTTTAATTACATCTATCCACTTTTTATTAGAAAATATCAATCTCTAAAAAACCTTGCAAACCTCCGTGCATAACAGAGACCAACAAATATCTTACTATAGCACAGCATCTATGTTAGAATCTGACTTTCATGTAGCTTCAACCAAAGCTCACTTTTCATGCTAGAAAATGGCTAGACACAGTGCTCACATACAGCTATTTTCAAGCACAAAAAGCATATTGACAAAATATTGACAGCAGAATTCTCAGCCTCTATGTCAGGTTGTCACCCTAACTTAAAATCAAGAAATATATACCACAAAAGAAAACATCCATTGTTTACATCCAACTTTTAAAGCCATGGAAAAATTATATTAATTTAATCTTTGTAGTAATTTCTTTCTGTGATTTCAAGAGAAGAAAAGATACAGAACATTCCAGTAGTGCACACTGCAATGACCATATGCACCGTAACCAATAATCAATTCCATTTACTTTGCTGTTATGACAGCTTATCAATAGAGGAATAACAGGTCTTCTTTGTATTAATAATACCACAGAATTCATCAAGAGTTGTCATGTTTCCTTCCTAAATAAAAACATTTTAAATTCCCCCAAAAATAAAATGACTAATGATGAAATTGTATGAAACTTAATATAACGATATTATATCATTTGCAGTATTTCTGGAAGAATGCGCACAAGTCTGCCTTTTTTTTTTGAGCATGCACAAATATAAAAGATATCTGGATATTTCTTGAAGACATTGACTATTTGCAAGTCAAGCTGTCCTCATCTAGGACTTACTTATCCAGAATATAATTCTGAAATTTGGAATAAAAGGAATGCTTTTAAATCACTCTTACCTTCATCTATTGAGGCTTCACTACTGTATCCATCATATTCTGCAGACAGGGGACTATATTTTTGTCTGGTTTCCCACATATAGTTTTTTTGCTGTCTGCCATCCACCACTGGCAGCCTGGAACTCTGGGTTCTAGACAAGGCCTCATGATATTTACCCAGTGCTTCATCTTCACTCTCAGATGATGAACCATGCTGGTCTTTACTCATATAAGAGTTGTCTGTTTGAATAAAATAAAGCAAATCGACTACAGCTCAAAATAGAATACAAGAAAATAACCATAAGAGGTTATCATTGAAGATATTTAAGCTATTTCAATTAAAATTTTTGTATAATAATATCATCTTGTTGTAATTATAAGTATTATATGATTTTGTAATTGGTGAGAGCTATTTTTATTTTCTAGAAAAACTGAAAGATCATTAAGCCCCAAAAAACCATTCTAAAACTTATTCAACAGAAAATGGATTCATTTATGTAAGGCAGCACACACTGAAGTTCTTGAAACCCTTCATTAAGTAAGAAAATGCTCAAAATAATTTATGTAAAGTAAATCCAACACTGCTGCAACATTACATTTGGATACCTAACATATCAAAAAGGCAGCTCCTGATCCTCCATTCCCAGCTGATTTTTGCTGTGAGCATGCAGTATAGAATGCATTCATAGAAATGAAACTCATTTACAAAGAGAAGCCTACAACAAAATCGTCTTAGGATATTTATGTCAGTAGTGCTTAAACTCAATAACAAATGGGAAAATGCTAGTGAAAGATGTTTGCATGCACAATTTTATTTAACTTGTAATAAACAGCCCGTTGTTCAATAACTGAATTTAATGCAGATTCTCATTGCAGACATCTGGCAACAGCAAAAATTGCACAGAAGAAACTATCTAGTTAATTCTTTTATATCAATTCCTCTATAACGCCCACTCCTGTGGCCAACTTTTTCCAACTACATCTCATGTATGACTTCCTCTCAGAAGTGAAAGATTGAGCTGCATTTTTATTTCTGTAAAAGGAAAGCTTCCCCCTCCCTTTTCCAAACCTCAAATGGATTCTGTCTGAACTTAGCATGCCATGCAGAAGTTCTGTGGATCTCAAACTCTAACAGGCATTAGAAGAGTTCATGTAAACTCAATAAAGCACTACCACTACTCTCTGAGCAAGCCTATGGTGTATGATTTGCCAATGGATTTCCATTACTGGCAGAGCTCTGAGATGCCCATAATGCTTTTTTTCAGCTCCTGATTCTGCAAGGGAATATTGTCTAACATGCTATCCAGCCATGCTCAACCGCTTCTCCCCTCCCTGCTTTTATGCCCTCCTCCCAGTCCCTGTTCTAGCTCTAGTTCTGCATTTCTGCTCCCATTAGTCTCTGTCTTCATGCCCAGCCAGTCTCACTCCTCTGCCGGGGTATTCCAACTAAAGGAGGGATTCAGCTCACCCAAAATTCAGCCATTTAAATTAAAGTAACTCGATCTATGCCAGCCATCTAGGCCTCTTTTACAGTCAAGTGTTTGCCTCTTCCTACTACTACACAGGTCCTTCCTTCCCAGTTTTAGGTAAGCCTCTAGAGTAGATGAGTAAAATCACTTCCCATAGAAGTGATTCCCTGGTACTGATACAGAAAAACCAATGCTGCAAGTTTAGGTAAGACATCTTTTGCAAAGTTTCATTTATACGAGTAGAATCTTATCCTAAGTTGGATTCCTACAACTACCGGAAAGGAGGTTGTAGCGAGGTGGGTGTCGGTCTCTTCTCCCAAGAAACAAGCGATAGGACAAGAGAAAACGGCCTCAAGTTGCGCCAGGGGAGGTTTAGATTGGACGTGAGGAAAAATTTCTTTACTGAAAGGGTGGTTAAACATTGGAACAGGCTGCCCAGGGAAGTGGTTGAGTCCCCATCCCTGGAGGTATTTAAAAGACGTGTCGATGAGGCACTTGGGGACATGGTTTAGTGGGCATGGTGGTGTTGGGTCGATGGTTGGACTCGATGATCTTAGAGGTCTTTTCCAACCTCAGTGATTCTATGATTCTAAGCTCCTGTCTCCATACTCCAGGTTCCTGCCCCAAGCACACAGTTTTGGTCTCTTATGGGTATTTCCTCTTTATTCTCTTTGTCTATTTAATCCCAAATTCTCTTTACTTGCACCTAACCAACTACTCATGTAACCTTAGTCTTTCACCCATAGTCTCTCCACCTTCACATAATATTATCAGTTCTCTCCACAGCCGTCACCCATCCTACTTCAAATCCCAGTCTACCATTTGCATCATGTCACATTTGTTCAGGAAGTTTCTGTCCTCACATAAGTCATGTTTATTCCCAATTCTTCTGTTCAAACTTCCACTGTCCTTCAGCAACCATAAGTATCAAAAGCAGGATAAGACCTGCTCTGTTCTTCAACCCCTACAATGAAGCATATGAGTCGAAACAGGATGGTCAGTGAATTTAACAAGCAAATAAGAAGTGTTTACTATGCCTTTTCCAAAGGCAAAGTTTCCAAAAGTTTGCAATTTGGTCAAACTTAGGCGTTTTTTCATAGAAGAACATGGGCATCTCTGAATGGGAAAAGTGCTCTCCCACATTTCAAGTACATACTCCAATATACAAAGGTGACAAAGCATCTTAGCGAAGCAGATGTGAAATCTACTTATATTTTGCACAGATAACCAGCATGTTTTTCCCATACTCTATTCCTGGAAGCAGCTAAAGATTTTAAATTATAGCTTAAAAAAAACAATCTCAGATGGAAAGCATGCCAAATTTCATCCCAAATATTTCAAATTCAGCACACAGTTATAAGCAACTGAAAATAAGGTCTTGAAATGGAAAATATCAGGAAACCTTAACTGCAGATGGTGCTACCAACTCTACATGCAATGTGTACATAATCTTAACTTAGTATTTGTAGGAAAACTGGTGCCTTAAAAGACTGCTAACAAGCAACTAGATCTTTCAACTCTAGGCTATCAATTTTAATTAAAGTCTGACAGATACGGTTCTTCCCATTGTATGAATGACTGTAAAGCAAGTTCAATTTCACTGATCACTTATTGAGAACATCACACCAAGCAAGATATATTCCGGCTAGCAGATTCACTGCAAGAGGCTGCCCAGAAAAAGGAGCCTCCTTTGCTGGTACAAAGAGTAAAATTTTGTATCTCATATGGCCCTTAACAGGTTGAAACCTGCCACCTAGGAAACTTCTACAGATTTCCACAACTATAATTAAAGCAGGGCATACCAGGACTCACATATAGTGCCAGACTTCAGTATTATATGCATCGTTTATCACTACAAGGGATGTATTCACAGATATGAAATTAGGTTCATTAATCAGTCTGCATAAAGTATAAAGAATTGAATAGTATAAAACATGGTAGCAACATGTTTGAAAGAAGTGCTGAAAGTTATGCCTCTAATAATACACTGACGTTTGTAAGCATCCAGAAGTTCTCAGTGACACCAGATATTTTTTCTCCAGTTCCTAGCCTAAAAGAAAAAAATGAGGATGCATACTATTATTACAATTCATGAAACAAGACTTCTTCAGAGGACTTAAAAATCTTGTTAAAGATAAAACACAAGCTATCCATGCAAACATTTTTTAAATGAACAATACAAATCTGTTTCAGTTTCTTGGGAAAAAATAGCTTCCTGCACATTAAAAAAAATCCTCAGGGTTTTACGCCACTCCTTGCCACTTCTCTTTTGATTTTTATACGTTAGTTGGAAACTTGCCTAAGAGAACTCATGTTCTTATTAAAAACTTCCCTTTATTTGGCTAACATAGGTCATCTTGAAAGCTATTCATTTGCTTATTATGGGATTTAAAATGCCATTTTTGATAGAGAATATACTTTACAAATATTGTATTACATGAAGAAATAACAGATAAGATCATAGTTTATCATACAAACATGGAAACCACCTCCTAAATCAAATTTAAAACAAACAAACAAAAACTAACAGAATGAATAACTGAAATTTTCAGGTAAGGGAAAACACACACACTGAAAAAACCAATTTCTATTACGAAATCATTCATTTCTCTACAGAAACAGCATCTCCAGAAAAGCCTGTGTTGCTTTCTAAAAATTCACTACACAGCCTGCAAAACAATTGTGTAAAAATGCAAGGTTTTACTTCTTACTCACAAACTATTATTGCAATCCCATTGTCATATTGTTTAAGATTGGATGTTGAAGATGGCACACACAGCATCCATATCAACAATACATAGGTTTTCTTTGTAAGACTACAACTTTAAGACAAGCCTCATTCAGTTCTTTCTATACTTAAAATCACTTAATTGCCACTTGTCATTGAGTTTTGTGTCTTGAAATTACTATCTTACATATCCCAGAAATACATTCTGAAGATCTACTATAATGTAAATGTTACAGAAGTTTTTTTTTCTTTATCATCTTATCACATTTTATGCAATGCTTTTAAAATACACAAAATAAAAACCACTTTCACAGAACAAGTGTTAATTTCCAGTATTAATTAATTCATAGTTTTCAACAGAAACCACACAAGGCACTGCAGAGAAGGTAAGAAAAACTGTACATAGAAAAAGAAAGGTTAGAACATAGGAAAGGCATTTATTAATCAGCTCCTTTAAGTAATACTTCGAAAAGTAATTAACTTCCAAGAAATATCAACATAATTAGAGAATGAAGCACTGACAACACAGACCTACTTTCATCCACAGAAAACACTATTATTAAATGGGTAAATTAGGTGAAAAAAGTAGGAAGTATCATAAGTTTCAGGAAAGGCTGAAGAACACAGTTTGCTGATGGACTCCTCACCTTTTCCTGCTGTCGTCTTATTACACAGCTCTCTTGAATTCTTTTCTGATTTCTTTGAGTTTTTCTTTTTACCCACTTTTGCAACTGTAGTTGAAACATTGCCTTCATCATTTGATACGGATCTTCCTTTTCTGTCAAAAAAGGCTTCAGATTCCTTTTCTTTGATTTCATTAATGCAACTGGGACAGTCATTGTGTGTCTTCAAGCTGGAGTCTGACAACTTTTGCTTCTGTACTTCAACAAGTTTTGTTTCTAAATCTTGGGGAACCTTCATACTATGCACTTCTTCAGAATCCTTAAAATCAACTCCAGGTGACCGTGGTTTGATTTTTCTATGCAAGTGATTCTTAGAATTATCTGATACTGCACATAGGCAATTATCTTGTTCCTCAATAGATTGCTCCATTGTAAATTTATTACTTTTCAGGTTACCATCCTTCAAGAACTTATCATTTACAAAACACTCATTTCCTCCTACCGCTTCCCTTTTAAAAGGTCCTCCTACATTCTTCAAATCCTGAGGTACTTCTGTATCATTTAAATGATTATTACTATCTCTGCCTTTTAACTGGCACTGTTTTTTGTCCACGACATGGTCAGATACTCCATCTTGACTTGTATCTTTTTTTACAAATTCTAATGAATTAGAATAATGAGTCTCCTTATGTTCTGCAATACCTCTCTTCACTTTCATATTAATTTCCTGAGAATGAGTTAATGATGCTGTATGTTCCTCTCTCCCTTGCACAGGTTTATCATTCTGTATTTTGGAGCTTTCATCTTCAGCACGAAGGCCATTTATCATGCTTGTTACTTGTTCTGTTACCGAATCAGCTACACTGTAGCTGACTTCTCCAACAACACTGGTCAGATCATCCACAGCACTGCTGAGTGTGTCGACCAGAGAAGACACAGAGGGAAGGCTCAGATTTTGCTGGAGGTTTCTGAAAAATGCCATTTGTCCAACCTATTCAGCAACACCTTTTAATACAGAAAGGTCCTCTTTCACAAATGGATTAACTCCATTTCTCTAACTTCAAATTCAGGGCTATTTGCTTTTGCTATCTCACACTCAATACATTTACCAGGGGAAGTTGCAGCTTTGCTCTTTCCATCCAGTATGTATTGAAAATAATAAGAAAGCAGCTAAGTAAATATCTTGAAATGAAGCCACAATCAACCAGCAAAACCATAGTCTTTCATCAACTGCAGCATCAACTAGCCATAATAAAATTCATTCTTTTCAAAAATAAGACTACTGTGTGAGGTGGAAATATGGGTTTTTTATTCTAACCTGCAAAGAAGAAGTTGTGACACATTTAAATTACATCCTTTCATCAATATCACACTAAAACAAGCTTTTAACATAATAGCTGCACAAAAACACACATCATGGAGACTTCTTCACCCCAAAATATTTGTTGTCTTTTACAAAAGGCAAGATATTTCAGAATATGAACACTTGTTTTGTAGCAAAAAGAAAGTTAAGATGACAGACTTAATTTCCAGGGGGAGAACTTTTTTTGTCTCCAAGAAAATTGAAAATAAAAATTTAGCTGCACCCTTTAGAGGTAGAAGGGAAGAAAACCTCTCAAATTTCCCATTCTATTCTCTGGTGCCTGTCTCCTCCTCTCAAGTCAGCTAACAAAGCCCATTCAACTTCCACAGCCCAAAAGCAGAAAGGGGTTATTTTACCAACCCTCAACATATTTTTCAAGGTCTAATTTTTTTCATTTCATTGAAAATAAAAATTTAGCTGCACCCTTTAGAGGTAGAAGGGAAGAAAACCTCTCAAATTTCCCATTCTATTCTCTGGTGCCTGTCTCCTCCTCTCAAGTCAGCTAACAAAGCCCATTCAACTTCCACAGCCCAAAAGCAGAAAGGGGTTATTTTACCAACCCTCAACATATTTTTCAAGGTCTAATTTTTTTCATTTCACATTATCCTTAAAGACCTTGTTCTATTAAAAAAGTATAGAAATAATTTGTCAGAGATAAGATGTCTTTAGTTTCTAATGTTTTACTTCTTTAAAATTATTTTCCAGTTGAGTAAATGCAAGACCTTCTCCAAAAGGTTGCTGAAGGATTTTAATAGGCTGAGTGAAAACCCAATAATCCCATTCACAAATCTACTTGAGAAGATTTAATTATAGACAATTATGGAACATTTAAAATATGTTCAAGAGTACTCTCATAGTGCAAGAGAAGTATCTTCCCATAAGTAAATCTCAACTCTTTGGTTATATAGCTGTTGAATTTCTGTGGCTTGTGAATACAAAGGTTTCTTCGTTTCCACATACTGCACAATGATGGGAAAAGTCAACATTGTGTGTTTTCATCACTTGAGTCAAGTATTTATTTTGAGTATTTCTACACATCCTTGTAAAAACTTACATTCTTATAATTAAGTTTGTATTTCAGATACTTACAGAGTTTATCTTGTGAATTCTTTCTTGTAGTGTATCCTGAATCGAGATCTGGGAAACCACTAACATTTTCAAAACACATCTTCTTATTAATATATAGGAAAAGTAGCAACATGAGAATAATGAACACCCCAACAGCAGACAGGAATCCAATTGCTTCAGGAGATACTAAAAGAAATAGAAAGAAAGAAACACATTTCAATAAGTCTTATCTTGTGAATTCTTTCTTGTAGTGTATCCTGAATCGAGATCTGGGAAACCACTAACATTTTCAAAACACATCTTCTTATTAATATATAGGAAAAGTAGCAACATGAGAATAATGAACACCCCAACAGCAGACAGGAATCCAATTGCTTCAGGAGATACTAAAAGAAATAGAAAGAAAGAAACACATTTCAATAAGTCTTGTCTTAGTTTAACTCGTAAAAGTTATAATATTTATCAGAATCGATCATTAATAAATACTACTAAAGTTCCAAACATATATGCAAGATATAACTGAAAAACCACCATTTATATTTGAGTTTATGTTTAATACTGTTAAATTTCATCAGGGTTTTTTTCTTCCAATCATCTTTTCAAAGAACAGAAAAGTATCTGGTCCTAATCTAAGGGAGGACTGACATTGTGAGCAAGAGGTTCTGCCAGAGTACTGGACGCCAACAAGACAGGGTCTCTGCAGAAAATGGGGAGATGATCAGCAGATGCCAAGGCTGATGATTTTTGATGGAACATCTGAGAGAGAGTACTGGAAGGGAGCTAAGAGCATCCCCCCTTCCTGGAAGGGGATGGAGGTTTGGCTACCTGGACTCAGGGCCAACTCTGAGATAGTGCTGCTGGGGAGGGACTGAGCCCTTGCTGGTGAGGCCGTTGTCCCTGTCAGCCTTGTTATGCTCAGCTCCTGGCTCCTCTTCCCTTAGCGACCAGCTAGCTCTCGCTGCTCCCTGACAAGCAGTATACTGTGTGAGCAAAAAAACAGAATGAGAAAAAGCACATAACGGTATGCTCCTTGCCCTGGTACGTGTGCCACTTGTGTATAAACCAAGAAAGAGCTAAGTGGAATAGAGATAAAGCATACTTAATCAAAACCAGGGAGAGGAAAAAAGGCTGAAGTAGATTGACATGTCTTAGAAAGCGTATAAAATAAAGAATATGCAATTGCTATTAAGCAGAAAACTGAAAGGGAATATCAGGCATCTTTTGCAGGGGTAGGATCTTGCAAGTCCATCAGTACCTAAGTAACAACATCAGTAATACCATTTAAGGCCAAGATTACCTAGGACATGGTTTTAGAAATAAGAAATCTGGAAATGGATGTAGCAAATTGGACCAATTGGGAAAGAGTAATTAAGGGGCAGCTTGTTTATCTGAAAGGAGACTGGGCAGAGAAAGGGATATAGAAGGGCAGCAAAAAAGAGAGTCTAGAAATGTAAGAAATAATGAACAAGTTATAAAAGCAGTTCAAGAACAAGAGAGGGCAGATTTTTTGACACAAGGAATGCAGATGCCCACAGACTATAATGTAGCTGACCTGCTTCATTAATCAAGGCTGCCAGGATGTCAAAGAAAAGCCCCTTGGGCAACCCACTGGACTCTCCACTGGGTCTACATCTGAAAGACTTGATGTGAGAAGTTAAAGAGTGACAGAATTGCAAATTTGTTAATAAGTGGTGTGGGAGGTCAAAGTGAAGGGTTATAGAACTATAATTCAATAATACTTGGGTGCAATTTATAAGAATAAAGTGATAGAACTCAATAATTGCATGCAATTAACAATGGTGTAAAGCGTTATAGAACTGTAAGTGATTCATAGTGGTATGTTTATTAGTTAATTAATCCATTAATTGGTTTATTAGTAGTGTGCTGATCCATTAATAACTGATGTAAGAGGCTATAACGTTTATGTCTCAAACCTGCATTCTAAAGAGGGAGAGTGAGACCTTGAGGTAACAGACACCTTAACACTCAGAGTGTTTTTTGCAGCCTCCCCACACAGAGGTGCATCTTTCAGGATTGAACATAGATGCACTCATCTGGATGAAAGCTAGGATTCACATATCCCTTTCTTCCTGCTATTTTTGCTAGTGTCCCTCTACTCACTACCATAAATCCCATTCTTGGGGGTTGAATTTTTTCTAAGGTTTATGAAGACTTATCAGATTTATGAATTCCGTTTGCCAAGATCTTGTCACTTCACTTTAGGAATATAATGCTGTGTGGCAACATCTTTCACTATGTAAAAAGGAGTGAGATTAAAGAAAAAATTGGCAACGTACTCTGCATTCTCAGAGATGCAATACAAAAGAACAAGAGGCAACAGCCCAAAGTAGCAACAAGGAAAATTCCAGATGGAGATGAGGTGGAAAGTTCCAGAATAAGAGGGGTTAATCACTGGAACAGATTGCCTAGATCAGTTACAGAATCCAGCTTTAATGTTAGCCCTGCTTTGAGCAGGGAGCTGAACTGTGAATTACTTTCCCATGAGCCTTCCAAATTAAATTATTCTCTGAGTCTACATATGCCCTTTGTAAATCTGGGCTCATACGTCTGTGTAAAAGTGCTGACTGAGAAACACACGTAGTTCCACAACCTCCTCAGTTTGTTTTGCGGGATGACAGGGAACATTTGTGTTTGTGGTGCTGTTCTTAATTATACAGGTGTGTTTTAAAAACCAGAAAAGAAAGATCAAAAGAAATGCACCTTCCACCATCTAAACAGAATTGGTCAGATTTGCACTTCTACTTTGAGCTGGACATCCAGACCTATCTGAAACTGTGAGAATTATTTTTGCTTCACTTTTTACTTCTGACCAGAAGAGATCACGTAACATTGTGCCTAGAACCCTGAAAATTTTCACATGAAAAGGAACCTGCCAATAACTTCAAACCACCCATCCTGACAAAATTACTAAAGAAATACCAGAATAGCAACCAAAGAAGTCCCAAAAGGATGAAACAAACCCCAATTAAACTAGAACCTCTATTTAGTCAATATCAAACTTGAGTCAAATTTTTGTTTTATTAGATCATACCAGAAAAGTTCAGAAAAACATGAGCAACTCTCAACTGAGTTAAGCTGGGAACAGTGTCTTCTGAAGAACTGAAGGCAAAGCTAGAAATAATTGGAAACCTTCAAAATCTGACCTTCACCTTCCAGCCCACTGAAGTCCAAGAAAGAACAAGAAATATAAGAACACAGTACAACTGCTTAATAGAGCCAGAATAAAACAAACAGTGCAACAGGGAGGAGCAGGCACGTGGTATTTTCGATTTCAGACAGTACAACAGAAATACAAAGACCCACAGAGTTACTGAGTTCCCCATCAGTCCTCCAGGATGAGACGTCCTGCTGCATCAAGCAGAGCAACAAGGTGAGAAAAGTGGAATTATATTCTGGATCAGAGAGGAAAGGAAGCTAAAACTTTTTTTAAAAATATTTTCATCATGAACAAATAGAAAAAAAAAATCCCTTTGTTCACAAAAGACCTTGGTTGCACATCCTACTAAGATTACCTGATACTGCCTTCAGAAGTCTGTTTGAAGTTGCTCACAATTTAATTAAGATCACTTGTTATAGCTGAAGTTTATGGCAACTCTGCCTCACACTGAAGGGTTTTTGTTTAAGTTCTAAGAAAAATAGTTAAGCCGTGACCAAGAATGAGCTGAAGAAAAAAAATTACCGCTATAGTGGTGACTAATTTATTTTTTTAAAAAGCCCTACTGTTCCCTGATTTAGAACAAGGAAAGTTTGGCATGTGTCAGGTGTTCATTTATCATTTGTCAGGCGTCCATTTACCACTTTCACGGAATCTTCCTAAATATGGGAAAGCTCTGAGATTTGACAAAAGCCTCAGTTTGTGTATATTCATTTTTGACCTCAAAGTTTAACAGATGAAATCTCCCAAGGTTCTGCTGGCAGTAGGCATGCTCCCTGCCTTCCCAAGGCTGCATATGGATAGCTGTGAATGTTTGGAGCTGTTGGAACAACATCCAGTTTTCTTTGAATTATTGATCCTGACCCAAATGAGACTAGAGACTGGGCCAAGAGCAGAAAATCTTCATTCTTCAATAACTTCCAGTTCTAACACCTATCAAACCTAGAGGCAGTGGCAGAAAAGGCAGGAAGAAGAAACCGCAATTCACCAGGACACAAGGACCAACAGAAGAGAGAGTGAAGTGGAAGATGGCAATTAGGCACAAGTTAATGGTGTCCAGTGAGGAAATGGGAAGTATGAAGACTAGACATAGATAAAGATAATGGGACCACAGAAATCTATCTATGAGGATAATTGCTTTATTATTGGAGCAGGCTGTCCTAAACAACTTTGTCTGGATTTAGTGTCAATGCTGCTTTGAGCAGGAGATTGAACTGAATTCCAATCATTCTATGGTTCACAATAAAGGACAGTGAATGTTTTCTTTTAATAGGATAGATTAACTGTACAACATCTTCAGAGAAAAGTGCACTCTCAAGTATTTCACATTTGATCTTTTAAAATTGTAGGTTTAAATTCTTAATTTTTTTTTCTTATGTTTATATTGTTCAGCAATCAAAGCTGCTTTGATCCATCAAAATATGTGCTTAAGGAAGTTAACCACAACCTAAAAGTAACTTGAAAACACAATACTGCCGTTTTTTTCTCGAGTACTTCCTGGATACTAATCAGTTAAAAAAGGCACTGTATGCAAACTGTATAGTTCTCTATGGAAACACAGTATCTGATGACATCTTTCTGGAGTGAAAAAAAACATTGGCTGATACCTTCAAAAAGAATGAAACTTTAGCTGCAGCAAGACTAATTAATTATTTATGTAATTCAGTGCGAACATAGGACTTGAAAATTATATTCCCGTATCAATTTGCATCCATGTAAAGAATCTTAGAACGCTCGTTCACAGATTAAGCCTATTACCAAGTTAAAATCCTTTGATGTATTACCATTATAAAGCCAGAAAAAAAACAAAATAAAATTGTACTTCAATTTTCCACATGTAAATGTGTACAGATTCCCATCTATGAATAAAGGTTTTATACTTCACATTAATCCTTCAGTTAGTTTCTCACAGTTGAAGCATCAAGCAGTTAAAAAAAAAAAAGTACTTTTTTGCATATAAAATATATCTGTGC